CTAAATGGAGGCTCTGATGCTCAAGACAGTAATCAGCCACAGCACAATGGAGACAGCAGTGAAGAAAGCAAAGACAACCATGAGGCTGGCAGCAAGAAAAAGTGAGGACATGTTTTACTGGTTCTTCATGTGGTTTTTTTTGGTACCAGGGATCGAACTCAGTTGCGCTTGCAAGGCAGGTGACAGAACCACTGAGCTGTCTCCGGCCCTGTGTGTTTCTTTTTAAAAATAAAATTTGGGGGATGAAGTGGTTTTTTTGTTTTTTTTGTTTTTGCACTGGGGGTCAAACTCAGGGCCTTGCGTTTGCGATGCAGGTGGCGGCACCACTGAGCTAAATCCCCGACCCTAAGTTTGAAGTTTTTGCTGTTGCCCAGTCCTGGGCTCCAACTGCTGGGCTTAATTGATCCTCCTGGCTGCTTTTCCTAAGTAGCTAGCAGTGTAGACATGTGCCACTGTGCCACTGTGCCAGTCCGGTGTTTTTCCTTCCCTATCCTTTATTTTTTCTGGTACTGGGGATCGAACTCAGGGTCTTCACTAGTAAGGCAGGCACGTTACCACTGAGCTAAATCCCTGGCCCTAGCCTTTTTTATTTTGAGAGTTTCATTATGTTGCCCAGGCTCTGGGCTTGAACTTGTGATCAGTCCTCCTCCCTCAGCCTCCCAGAGTGCTGGGATTACAGGCATGCACCACTATTCCCAGTTGTGTGTTTTTCTTATTCAAATATTTACTCACAGGACTGTTACAAGGTTAAGGACCTCACACATTAAGCAAGCATTTTGCCAGGCTATACCCCCAGTGGGGGTTATATTGAGTGCTTGATTCTTGAATTTCTTAAGTTGTAAATTAAAAAGCTAAAGAGGGGTTCTGGAGCTAGCTCAATTTTTTTTGTTTTTTTGGTACTGGGGATGGAACTCGGGACCTTGTGGTTGCATGGCAGGGGGCAATACCACTGAGCTAAATCCCTGGCCCTAACCAGCTCAATGTTAAAGCTCAGGCTAAGACCTGGGGAAATAATAAAAACCCAAAAAGGTGATTTGTACTATTAATGTTGGCTTGCTTTCACACTTACTTGAACTTTGAGGATTATACATTATAGTATTAAAATCATTCTATATGTAATTTTTGTTTTCTGAGGTTTGAGACAGGGTCTCACCATGTGTAGTCCAGGCTGTCAGTGATCAGCCTTCCATGTGCTGGGATTACAGGCATTTACCACCACCCCCAGCTCCATTTGTAATTTTTATGGTATAATGTGGAATGATGGGCAGTTTTATACTATAATCAGCACTACCTTAAAATACTTGTAGAACTCTACATCTGAGTCTTCAATCATTTGAAGGATTTGGACATATAATTTGTTGGTGTCACAGATACCATGTTAATTTAATCTCTTTAAAGAGAAGTCAGTTTAAAGCCAGAAAGCTGATCTGTAGTATTTCCCTGAGTTATCTTGATCTGTGTTATTTTGGGAAGATACAATATGGTGAAATATAATTGTGAACAGGAAATAATGACAGTGTCTTAAGGATTTCGTTTGATCTTTTATGATTTAAAAAACAATGCACACATTGCTTCTCGGCCTTTTGGCTAAGATCAAGTGTAAAAAACAATGCACAGATTTAATGCCTAATTTTCTCGGGGGAAAACCCTAATCCCAGTTGTCACACGTTTTCTTTCCCCCTTTAGGCCATCCAATGAAGACAGAGAGACTGAAGTATCTCTGAAGGAGTCTACAGTGGATAACTAGGTTGATTGATATACAGTACCTGGATTACAAAGAACAATTGAGAAGTTTGT